CACTCAAGTTAAATGCATTGCTAAATGACTTACAAATTTTCAGTATTTCAGTACTTAAGTATTTTTGAAAGTACTCAAGTACTTTAAATTAAATATTAATTTGACAGACCTTCTTTTACTTTATTTGGAATAATATTTGACCAGCAGGGTCAGTACTTTGACACAAGTAAGGAAACTGAGTACTTTGTTCACCACTGAGTACAAAATTAGAATAATCTACATTATTTGTAGAGTTAACTGTATTTAAGATTAGAGCCTATTTTTTGCAGTCACATCCACTTTAGAACTCTAGGTTGGAAACATCTTTGGCAAGTCTGTATTTTGTTAAACAAAACAACAAAAAGATTCTTTATACATTTTTATTAGATTTAGATCAAAAAATGAAAACTAAATGACTGTTGCAGCATCCTGAGTTTCCAGAAACATAATGCAGCCTCATCATATTTACACACTCACTGGACTGTGTTTGCAGAAACTTACCCAAGAAGCAAAAAAAGGCGATAAGAAGACTCTTCATTCTTTTATCCAAGGTCAGAACAAAACATGCAGCTTCCAGACAGTCTTTGGGTTAAATGTCATAAAACAGGAGTCACGTAAAGATTAAAAAGCTCCACAGAGCTGGTTGTGTAGTTTAAACGGCAGCAGCTTGTCTTCTGTTGGTCTCAAAATGAAATGAGTCTGATTCAAATCCCTCCTTATCTGATATTTATCCCAAACAGACAACCTACAGCACATGTTGGCTCTTCTAATCAACATTGTCTTTTTCAGCTTGGAAAAGGCAGCTCATGACTGCACCAGCTATAAAGTCTTCAGTGTTTGTTTCAGACTTCCCCAACGGTGCGTGCTTTTGGACATCTCCAGCCCATTAGGCTCGAGGGGATCTGATTCAATGAGCAGTTTGTCTGCAGACTGTCACGGGTATCTGAGGGCAACCTGAGGACTGTTTGTTTCAGCAGGATGGTACAGTTAAACCACAACCATTTTTAGGCCCTTTTTTTAAAAAAAAATTAAAAATAAAAATCTCCAAAGAGACTTRCATAAGATAACATATTTAAAGTAAGCTGGCTCATATTTAGTTTTAGAAGTGGACAGGTTCCCTTTCTATGAATTATTGAACTTTACACCATTTTTGAAAAACTGAAACATTCTTCCTTTAATACACTGTTCTCCAGAACTAATGGAATGGTTAGATGATTTCTTTATTTTTGTTGCTACAGTGGAAACATAGTAGTTTGAAATCAAATAATTAAAATGAGGCAAGAGATCTGAGTTTTTGGTGCCTACAGTTGAAACCAGATATTTACATACACCATATAAAAATACTCATATGCATTTTTTTCCCACACTGTCCGACATGAAATCAGAATAAACATTTTTAGGTCAACTAGGATTACCAATTTTATCTTATCTATCTATCTATCTATCTATCTATCTATCTATCTATCTATCTATCTATCTATCTATCTATCTATCTATCTATCTATCTATCTATCTAT